AAAAAAAATTAGAGAAATAAGAAGGGGAGTCTGAAATGAACGCAACAAATCTGGCCAGATTTCCCGTTAATTCTCTCCACCTTCAGCACCCAGCGCCAAACACCGCGCCGCCCGCCAGCAGCGCTCGGCAGCAAAGCACCCATCCTTACGTGGTCGGGTCAGCAGGACGTGGAGCGCGGCCACGGCAGGAGCTGACCTACAAAGGCGGTCAGCAACTTTGGGGAGCTGTTATTCTTTGGGTAAAGCAGGAGAAGAGCCTTCGCCATGGCCGGAGGTGGCACCTCGGCGCGTGCGGCCGCGTATCTATATGTTGCATTAATTGGCACAATGCGTGCCAATCAACGGAGAGACAAAGGAAGAACTCCAGGCAGCTCCTGCCTTCTGACAAACGCTGCATCTCAAGGCTGTGCTCTGCGAGTACTTCAGAAAACAACAACGCTTATCTGCCCGGAACTAAAACCATGCCTCCGTAAATACTGCGCCCGCATTTTTTGTCGAACCGCAAAAAAAAAAACATAAAATATAAAATAAAAAAATAAAAAATAGAAATGAAAGCGTCCTAGGATTGCCAATCCATCAATAGCGAAGCCACTCGCCTTTCCACGGTGCACTTTGAAAGATTAATCGAATTAAGTAGAAAATTCAAGCAACTTCCAAAGCACAAGCGCAGCCATCGCCTCCCCCTCGGCTCCCAGCGATGGGCAGCAGCGGGGGCAGGACGGGCTCCTTCCACCTGCGAGGAAGGGGAAGTGAGGCTGCTTCTATAAACGGCTTCCATTCGGTCTTTTCATTTCATTTTGGCGTATTTTTTTTTTTCTTTCGGTGTTCGAACCCAAATATTGCAACCCAGGTTTTCCGACGCCCCTACGCTTGGGGTTTAGCTCTTGGTTAGACCAAAGATGGGAAATCTACCTGAAAAAAAAAAAAAAAAACACGAAATTTTAAGAAAATGCAGCAAATGTTCAGAGTTGCGCATCGGTTCTGCCCAGGTCTGCAGTTTTCCTCACCTTCCTTCTCGCGACTGCATTTCTAGGATTCGTCCCTTCCTGCAGCGCAGGTCCCAGGTGCTCCCCAATGGAGACCAACCATCCCCGAGCAGCTGCGCGGGGCTCGGCGCCACGGCAGCCAAGCACCAACTGCTCTCTTACAAAGGCAGTTTCACGAGTTTTGGACACGTTTGTTCTTTCCAAGGAAAAAAATGAACAAGTTTAGAAGGTAGACGCATTTTTGGGGGGAGCACGAGTGGCAGGAGAGCCAGGCGCCATCCCTGCTCGGCGCTCAGGCGGCACAGCTCCGCCGTGACCTCGGCTATGTACACATATTTCTCCAACAGTACCGTGCTTCCTGCCATGGGATATACAGTCAAAATATCCCATTTATTGCCGAGAGGTCCTGAACAGCGTGTTTTACATCACAAAGAATCTCGCCCGATGGTGATGGAAGTGTCATGGTAATGAGCTTTGTGCCGTATGTGAAGTACAGACAATACGAAACGAATCTAATAGATTTTAAAGCAAAGTTTGTGCAGGAACGTGCGCAATACAGCAGGAACGGCGCAGCATCTGATCTGAAGAAAACCGCAAACCAGACACAAAGCCAAGGGAAGGTTATCGATCCCCATGATTCCAACGGCACCTGCCCCAAAATGCAGCGCGGCGCCGGGAAGAAGAGACCTTTGTGACATGGAAGAGGATTTTCCCGCTTACGTGGATGCGCAGCACCCAGGAACGGTTCATAAAGAGGCGTGAGGATGCCAGAGCGCGTGCTATCACAAGGGCAGAATTTTTTTGTTTCCATTTAACATCGAAACGCCAAGGGAGATTAAACCCTAAAATCCGCACTGAAATAAAGTCACAGCTCTGAGCTGAACGAACCGAGGGCAGAAGCGGTCCGTCACCACCGCTCTCCCCACTGCTGCCTGTGCTGAAAGGCAGGCTGTGCTCCCCAGCAGCCCTATGGCCACCGGGCACCGACACAGGCTGGCTGCGCCTTCGAGCCGCTCGCTGCCATTCTAACACTGATATTGATCATCAGCATCAGTGCAAGGCTCACACGGAGCTCTGACCCCACAGCCCCTCCGCCCACAGCCCGCGCTCCCCTCCGGGCTTCATTCCTTTACAGAAAAAAATGCTTTTCTGCCATCAATCTCGGTTCATGAAATATTGGACCCGTACCAAAAGACTGAGGCAAATTGCTCGGTCTATTTCTGTAATCCACCGAATACCAGCATCTATTACAGGGCAGTACGTGACTTCTTGGTCCGCGTGCTTTTAGAACAGAATAGCTGTGGCAAAATGGCATTTGAAACAACAGGAGTGTGAAGACAGAATACTGAAGACCAGATTCTACACCAGCTACACCTGAAATGGCCCCCGGCCCTCTTCGTTCCTTCCAAAAGCAATCAGACTACAAAGATCATCACGCTATCCTACACAAGCAGGGTTTGGCACTCACGTTCACTTATTTGCCTTCCCGATGCAGGAGCACTGCAGGACTGACCATGACCCAACCC